TTGCTCCCGGTGCCTCTGGTCTGCTGGGGACCATCTCCAGCAGACCAGGGACACCGGGAGCAAAGGAGGCGGAGGGGCGCTGGGGTATAAGATGAAACCCTATCTTTTAATTAAAAAGATAGGGGGTCGTCTTATACACCCAGTCGCTCTATACGCCGGAAAATACGGTAATGTTTCGATGGCGTATATGCCTGGACTGGGATGCTTGGTCCTAGGAGAAGCTGAGAAGTGAGTGTGCAGGTGACATCAGAACAGCAGGTGGGCGAAACGATAGCTGCATCCAGGCAGGGCTATATGACAGAACATGACACAGAAGTAAGGGCTGATGTGCAGCCACATATGTACCATGTGCACAGGATAGCTGGATAATGTTACCATGCAATCCCATCCACTTAGCACACTGTGCTGAGGGCCATTCTGAATTTTAGTGTTTGTCATTTATAATTATTGTACTTGTCCATTTTCTCATTCAGCTTAACAGCCTGCTGCTCTGATGTAAACCGGCTGGTCACAGCGGGATGCCCTTCACACAAGGGTAATCCTCCAAAGACCATTGAATTGGCACCAAACACCCAGAGTATGGCCAAAAATCAGGCCCGTTCTGTTTACAGTGCAATTCTTAACAGTGTTTGTATCCCCTGTGCCTTTCAGATCAGAGCTATAATTTGAAAGACAACCCTCTGTGTTAAACACATTTTCAGTCCAGTGAGCTAAATATGTCAGTTAATGGTAAATAGATTAAACTGTGTCCGGGCTCATTTCAAATGAGATGCCATTAATTTAAGCATTGGCAGTTCTTGGAAATGCTTAAAGCTGGACGTGAGCCAAGGTGAGATGCTGCTTTACAGTGTCAATGCCTGATGATTTGCAGCAGGCCTAGTTAATATCTTGTTACTGCCATCAGGCTGTTGTTTATTGTCTTATTTATTCTTGAAGATGACTATACAGGCTATTCATAACAGAACCTCTTTCACCCTATTAACCGATGAAAGCAAGACACCCAACTTGAAAGACTTAACAGTGTCCTCCAGCATAGCAAACTGTGTTCTGGCAGTGGCTTCACTATTTCAGTTCACAAGCCACATTCAGCCCTGGTGTAAGCAGCTGTAACTCTGGTATACAATCCGCCTCTTTATACTGAGACTGAATTCAGCCTAACCTCTCAGCTCTTTGCTGGATGTGAAATGGAACGGTCCTTGTGGTACATGACATTCTAGTGGTGTCAAGCCTGGCTTCTTGCACATCCCATATCGTAATACAGAACATAGATTGTTTTTATTTGAAAGTGTGCTCAAAGATGATTAAGGGTGTTCAAGGGCTGATTATCCTTGATTGTGTCGATCAGATTCAATCAAGAGAACAAAGGTTCAAACGGTTCCCAAGCACGCAATCACAACCTACACTTTAAGTCAACTGAAAGAGAAAACAAGCTGATCTCCTTCACTCAGTTTCAAACTCCCCCTATTCTCTAGCTCCCCTTGATGGATGCACTGGAAGGAAAATACAGTGCATCACAGTCCTCCTTAGCATATTGCACAAAACCATAGTAGACTGGATGGCTCTGGGTTTGGCAGTAGGATGCTTTTATTTAATGGTCACTGGCTTGAATTCTGCCTTGGTCAGGAATGGCTGGCAGTTGTTACCAGTCGGTGGCTGGATTTATGTGCAACCAGTTGGTCTCGTGCACAGTATTGGTTGGCAGCGCTAAAGTGTGCCTGGACTTCAATCCCGGGATATGATTGCCACTCAAGGCAACATACCTGAGCCAGTTTAATCTAGCGCACTTAGATCCTGAAGCAGTGAAGACACGCCAGCATGAATGTCATCATGGACTGTACAAAACATGTACTTACTCATGGCGATAAGCCTTGCTGCAGCTCATGCTGCTGTGGCTTTGTTATTCCATGGCCTGAGTTAGAGAGATTCCCTCCCAGGGATTGCAGTGTGGACATACTCTTCATAGAAGAGAGTCCAAGGGCTGAACAGATGCAGAATTTGAACTATTGCTGCAGATGATGCATTTAGGGTGGAATGAGGCTGCCGGGACATTGTCTTAGATTCAGAGTCTAAGACCAGGAGAGTCCTGCTGCAATCAACTAGTCTGACCTTCAAGGTTGCAGTCAGCCAGCTGCAGTGGTCAGGAAGAGATTCCTTACCCTTGTGTTTGGGGGGAGAGAGGACATAATCTGCGTCCTCTAATGTATCAGGGGTGGTCACAGCTGCAGAGGGGACATTTAAGGGATGGGCCAAAGCTTTGGGATAGCACTAAGGCTTTTTAATCATTTCCCTTTCATTGCAGGAGCCTTGGGCACAGGCATACTAGAGTCACTTCTATTCTTTGCCTGTGATAACACAGTCAAGTCTCCCATAGGTTATAAAACTTGGGTCTAATGTTGGGGTTTGTGTGAGTGTGGGGTGGTACTGGTGGCCTGTGCTATACAAGATGTCAGACTGATCTGGTGACTCCTTCAACATTATGGCTGTGAGCTTCCAGATCCAGAGGACTTCCCTGAATTAATTCCTGTTTTAACTAGAGAACATCTTAGAACATCCAATCTTTGTTTACTGCTAAATATGTGTGCCTTATTTCTAGTCTGAATTTGTCTGGCTTCAACTTCCAGTCTTCAGCTCTGGTTACATCTCCGTTTGCTTGATGGAAGGATCCCCTGTTACTGCCTTGTGAGAGAGCCTGCACTGCTGCTGCTCACGCTCTACCTTTTGTATAAATAAACACTGGACTTCAATCTGACTCCTTTCATAAGAACATTCACTTTTTTAAAACTGCAAATTCAAGTTGGAGTAGTGTGTGTGTGCTGGGAATCTTTACCTCCTTGTGGATTTTTGTCTTGATCTTTGGCTTTTTGTCCCCCTCCCCCTGCTGTTCTTTTATTAGAGCAAAGAAGATGCTTATTTTGTAGTCTTGAATAAAGAAGAAGGTGCTGGCCTGGGATTTAGTGTCGCTGGAGGGATAGATCTGGAGCAGAAATCTATCATAGTAAGTGATGACTGCAAATCTTTTTCAGCAAAATTGACTGCAAGTCAAGCTAGAAATTAGATCAAGTGTTCATCTAGCTCGTCTCCCTGCAAGGCAGTGTGAGTCATAAACCAGTGACTTTGAGAGGCTGCTGAATGTATCATGAAATGAGATAAGGAAGTGTTGAGGAGAAAAATAAGTTAATGCAATATTTTTATCCCTGAAGATAGGTGTCAATTACATTTTCAAACTAGATTTAAAAGTGCTTCTTAGATTAATATGTATTAATCTACTGGTTTGACTGAATCAGAGTCCCAAGAGATATAAATAAAATCCCACATACAGTAAGTGTAACCTTTTGTAGGTAGTTTCCAGTCTTGGAACTTTTGTGATAAAAATTTTCAGTTATGGAATGTTTTTGTAAACCTCAGCATGGCTCTTTCAGACTGAGGCAAATCTTCTGGATTTTGCTTCACAAGGTTCTTTTGGTGACAAGTGAAAACTAATTATAATTAACCAAAGTGTTGGAGCATAAGCTTTCGTGGGCAAAGACCCATTTCATCAGATGCATGTTGTGCATCTGACGAAGTGGGTCTTTGCCCACGAAAGCTTATGCTCCAACACTTTGGTTAGTCTATAAGGTGCCACAGGACTCCTCGCCGCTTTTGCAGATTCTGACTAACATAGCTACCTCTCTGATACTAATTATAATTATTATTTATAAGGAACTTTTAAACCAAGGACATTGTAACAGCCATTAAATGATATTGGGGAGTAAAAACCTGATTCCAAACAACTGGAATGTTATCAAAAAGTAGAACCAGTAAGAGAGAGGAGGAAAAAAAGAACCAGAGTGACATGTAGCAAGCCCCCGGAAGTAGAGAAACTTTTAGATTCCACATTGGGAGGATGAAGCCATTAGCTGCTGAGAGGAAGAGGAGGGAATGCCTCAGCCATTGGGCCACAGTGACAGTCATAGAACATTGCCTCATATGAGACCAGGTTCCTTTCTTATTGAATTCAGTATTAAAACTCCCATTGATTTGAGTGGGAGCAGGAGCAGGCTCTGCAAGGGTGATAGAGCACATGTTGGAATGAAGTGAAAAATAACTAGAGAAAAATGCACCCAATAATCCATTTTTAAGCCCAAAAAACATCTCTGCTGGGTAGGGTATTATTAAAGGGGTTTAATTTTAATCCAAATGGACATCAATATGATAATATCTCCAGCTGCACCCCTACCTGTAGAGCTTTACATATGCATGATAGCACCTGCATTTTCCCCCAAGCTTTCTGCTTGGGCTTTTGGTCAGCATTGCCTCCTTATGTATCTCCCCTTTGAGAGCAATGTCCTTCCTTCAAGACACTGAGCCTAAACACAGCTGCAGTTAATTAGCTCCTTGCAGGGGAATGCTCTTTCCACTGCCTCTGAAACCTGCCTGGAAATATTAGCCTCTGAAACCTGCAGTTCTTTAGCAGGGCCTCCTCCTGGGGATTGCCTTGGGGTAAGATGCAGGAAGGCATTGGAATTTTCTCTGGGGGTTATCCAAAAGACTTGCACACTGTCATCAGTGCCAGAGAATCTGAAATATCCTGAGATAAGCATTTAGAATTCTACTCTCAAATTCACAGCACGAAAGGTCCCATTGCTCTGGACCTTCATGAAAAGAAGTATATAACAGTGCTAATAGCTGTGTGGTATCTTGTAAGTAAGTCTTTCAAAATCCAGCCTTGCTCCTTTCAGGCCATTTTCTTCTATCGTTTACACCAGTGCAAATCACTCTATTGGAGCTCAAGGAGTTACTCTGGGTTTTCCTTACTCTTCGCTGCCCTCTAGAATATTTCAGATTTACAAGATAAAAAATAGTTGCCCAACCAAAAAGGCCATTGAATATGTGATGGTGAATGCAGTACTGGAACAGCCAAAACATCAAAAACAGGCACTTGAAGCTGCACCTGTGACCACGTAAGAGCCGATGTAAAATGCAGTCACATCTGCCACTACTACTCAGTGCCCATCTACCAAGTGCTTAGCTACTTCTTTGTGCCCAATCCTGCAGACATGTTAACCTGGCATAGTGCTTGGGACTCGTCTTAGAAACAAAGGACTGAAAGAGGCTTCCTGGGTCATTGAGTCCAGTCCTTTCCTTTAGAAAGGAGCCCTGTTATACAGTGCCATTCATAAATTTATCACGCTCTATCTTAAAATTAGTTGGGTTGCTTTGCCCCCATATTTCTATTGGAAGGCTCCTTTGATGGTTAGAAACCTCCTTTAGTTTTCAGCCTAAATTTATTCAGGTCCTGTTTATATCCATTTATTCTTGTCCCATCATTGTCCTTGAGCTTTAATAACTCTTCTCGTCCCAGTGTTTATCCCCTGATTTAGTTATGGAATGTAGTCAGATTCAAGCACTTGTAATCCCCTCTTTTAAAATAGGCCTGCTGTTCCCCCAATCATCCTACTTGTCTTCTCTCGTTTGAATTCCTCTCTTGAACGTGGGTGACCAGAAGTGTATGCAATATTTCAGATGAGGTCTCACCAGTCCTTTTAAAAGTGGCACTAGTATTTTCCTGTCTTTATTGATAGATCCTCACTGAGGTCTTGTCTACACTGCAGATATTTCAGTAGATATAGGTTACACAATTTATATATATATTACACATATATAACTTAAGTGGGCATAGTCTGCGTCAGCTATATCATGCTACATTGGCAAGAGACACTTTCATGTTGACATTGCCAATTTAGCCTACAGTAAAGACAAGCCCTGAGAGTAAACATTATGCCAAATGATGTTTGAAATGTCGCGGTCTTAAATTATAAGCTCTCTGGGGCTGAACCGTCACCTTTATCTGTTGTGTATAGCATTATGCATATTTATGACCCTTTCAGAGTACTCCATAAACATTTCTCTTTTAGGTCCACAGAGTGTTTTCAAAGGGTGTGGCATCTGAAGAAGGGACTATCCATCGGGGCGATTTCATTCTGTCAATTAATGGCATGTCTCTCGCGGGCTCTGTTCATGGTGATGTTCTGAACGCTCTGCATCAGGCAAGACTGCACAAACAAGCAGTCGTTGTCATTGAGAAAGAAAAAGGCAGAGAAAAGATTTCATCTGGACTTGAAATATCTGCTACTGTCAGAAAACACTTTGTGCCTGGAAGGAATGCTACCATGGAAATAACAGGTATGACCTTAGTCCAAATATAGTTGAAAGGAATTCACTGCCAAGTAGACCTAGAGAAAATGTTCATATGCTTCAGATTATAAGTATCTGTGTCTTATGTGATCAGAGAAAGCAAATAAAATTAATTATAACTTTTACTCTTTGGAACTCTAATGCAATATTTAGAAGCCATGATAAATAAGCGGACACTTAGATGGACATTTAGGGCCTGATTCAGCTCTCATTGTTATTTATGGCCATTTTCCCACTGACTTCTGTGGAGATTGCATCAGTAGAAACAGGACTCCTGTTTCTAACTACAATGATTATTTCATAACCTTATGGGAAAAGACTAAACTATTCTTAATTTATGTATACTCGTCTAATCCAGGATGAAGGTAGAGATGATGTGTTTGAAGGCGATAAAAAAACAATAGTGAGAGCAAAAAAACTGAATTTAGAACTACAGTTTATTATTCAAAATAAGTGGAATTAATCTATGAAATGGCAGAACTTAAATTTTAAGATGTATTTATTAAAATATACAAGAAAGAAATTTTGATATTACAGTGAACAGAGAGCTCTAACCAAATCCCAATCCTTTCTAAAGAAGAGACTGGGGAAAAGTTAGTTTTAAAATTCATAATCCCAGACTGACATAAGCAGCATTTCTGCTCCAAAAAATGCTCCTGCCACTTGAGCTGAAAGGCTGCAACCACTAGAGAGCAGCATGATCTCACTTCAAGTCCATCCTTGTGGTGTGCAGCTGTACAAACACACACAGAGCCCTATATTTACTTTCATCCCTTTGCATTAAGCAAAGCTCTCTCCCAGATGCCTGACGTACAGTTGTTTACATTCAACAATTGGTACTAAATCCTGGTAATTCCATGGCTGTATAAATGTGACAGTCACTGGGGCAGGAAAGGGGCAGGGGCTAGAACACAAATCATAGAAATGTTGGGCTGGAAGGAACCTTGAGAGATCATCAAGTCCACCCCACTGAACTTAGGCAGGGTCAGGTAAAAACATCCCTGACAGGTGTTTGTGCAACCTGTTCTTAAAAACCATTAGTGATAGAAATTCCACAACCACTGTGGATTGGCAATTCCAAAGATTAATTACCCATAGATTTCAAAAGCTTTTCCTAATTTCTGACCTTTTAAGATTAAGTCTATTACTCTTTTCTCAATACTAATCATGCCAATTTTTCACCTTTCCTCATAGGTCAGATCTTCTGCTCCTTTTATCACTTGTTTTGCTCTCTTTTGAACTCTCTCCTGTGTGATCACATCTTTCCTAAAGAATGGTATCCAGAATTGGACAGAGTATTCCAGCTGAGATTTCCCATTGCCAAGCAGAATAGGATAGTTACCTCCCACGTATCATATACGACATTCCCCAGAATAATATTAGCTTTTTTCCACAAATATCACATTGATGACCTGTATTCTGTTTGTGATCCACTGTAAACCTCTGATCCTTTTCAGTACTACCACTGCCTACCCTGTTGCTCCCCATTCTATAGTTGTTCAGTTGATTGTTATCTTTCTAAATATAGTACTTTGTACTTTATTGAAATCAGAGTAGTTCTCCAATTTGTCAGGGTCATCTTGAGTTTTCATCCTGCCCTCAAAAATGCATGCAATCCCTTCCAGCTTGGTATCATCTGAAAATTTTAAAATCACACTTTTCATTCCATTATCTAAGTTATTTATGACAATATTGTGGAGCCCCACTAAATACTTCTGACCAGTTTGACAGTGAACCACTGATAACTACTATTTGAGTATGGCGTTTTGACCAATTAGGCACCACTCTATAGTAATGTTATGTCAATCACATTTCCTTAGTTCACTTTTGAGAATGTCATGAGGGACTGTGACAAAAGCCTTATTAAAATCGAGATATCTATACCTTTGTTCCAAATTCATGGGGCCATTTTTAAATGAGCTAAGGCATCATTTCTATTAGGTATAGCAACATTATGGTTTTTAAAGTCCAGTTGCTAGAGGACAGCATATGCACACTCGTAGAGATCTGACATACTCATTGATCAGAGAGCAAGAGCACTAACTCACACAAGTTAGTATATTACAAAACCTTCCCTTTTAAATTAATGTTTAGACAGCATTGCTCTTTAGAAATCCGCCATCCTAGATTTAAGCAAGTGGTATCAAATTGAAGACTGTAAAGTTTAGCTGCCTGTTGTTCTTTTTTTTTTAACTTTTAAAATTAATTTTTACTAAATCCCATTGGGCAAATGTTCATCAGATCTCCTTAATGTTAACCTGTAAGCCAACTTGCTTAGCCCCAGGGCGCAGGCCTATGCTCAGGCCAGCACTAACCCTGTTCCCTGTTTGTGTAAGCCCAGTCTCTGGGCTGGGCAAAGCACATAAAACAGTCACCCATGGATCCCTTTAAGCCCAGGCCTTTACTACAGGGTGGGGGGCAGGCAAACAAATTCAGTCTACAGTGGCAGGGTGAGCCCAGGCACCAGCGCAGGGCAGACAGACAAAACACAGTTTATAGTGCCAAGGTGAGCCCAAGTCCTAGTGCAAGGCAGGGCAGATAATCCAAACACAGTTTGTAGTGCAAAGTGGGGAGACTGACACCCAGAGCCCTCCCTGCTCCACTGTCTCCCAGCCCAGAGCACTGGCAGTGCAACATTCTGATTTAGTAAAGTATATTGAAGTCAGCCTGACTTTCATCAACTTTCGCTGGGCCACCTCTGGACTCCCCCTTGGGTATACCTAGCTCCACGTCCAGTCCTCGGAGTTGTCAGGGTCTGAACCCTCAGGTTCATCTAGCAGGGTTTCCTCCTCAGATTGAGGGCCTGGTAGTCCAAGCCAGTCCTCGGCATCTGTGAGGTCTTCAGTGGCCTCCAGCTCGGGAGCATAGGGTAGGCCTCTGCTTCTTCCAATGGCTGGGGCCTGACTGAGCTCCTGGCCTGAGTTTTTATACAGCTAGTCCCGCCCCTGACTTCCAGGCAGGTAAAGGGGCAGGGCCCGGAGAGGGATTCTTTCCCTTCTTGGTCTGTGAGTGACCACCCCTGCTCACTACCCACGCACAAAAATGTCTGGGCACATCCTTGTTGAACATGAATACATTTCTCCACACATGATGAACAGTGAGTGGCACATTGCAAAAAATGACCTGCGGATGTCAATGAGGCTTGTACAACTGCATAATGTACATGTGATCTTTAACAAAAACTGACTGAAAATGTGCTGCAGTTTTAGTAGAAATTAAATTGTGGATTATATTGTCACCATGGCAAAAACTTGAGAATTGTATGTCAATAACGACATATTGTGTGCATTCTGTTACAGGTCCCAATGTGGACTTCAATGATGTCATTGCTGTTGAACTATGGAAAACCTCTGCTGGTTTGGGATTCAGTCTTGATGGTGGAAAAGCTTCAATATCTGGAGACCGACCTTTGCTTGTAAAAAGAATATTTAAAGGTATTTGGAAAATACATTTACATGTCTATAATCCCATTTTCTTCTACAGGCAATCCCCGGGTTACATGGATCCGACTTACATCGGATCCGTATTTACAAACGGGGTGAGGCAACCCCGCACTAGCTGCACCCTCCCCCCCAGCAGACCGCCGAGACGCGCCGCGGTCCCACCGCCCGCATCCTCTGTGGCGAGAAAAGCTGCTCCGCGTCTCCCTGGTCTGCTGGGGGGGCGCTAGCTCCGCGTCTCCCTGGTCTGCTGGGGGGCAGCACCCCCCACACCGTTCTCAGCAGACACCTCAGCTTGAGAATAAAGGACTGAGGGAAGTGAGATGTGGGAGAATAAAACTGAGCTCTGGAGAAATGTTTGGCTAGAGTTTCCCCTATAATATGTACCAGTTCCGACTTACATACAAATTCAACTTACGAACAAACCTACAGTCCCTATCTTGTACGTAACCCGGGGACTTTCCTGTACTATACACGTTCAGAATTTGTTTAATTGGATAATTATGGAGATAAGCTATTTTCTAATGCATTCTATACCTTTTAATAACTAAACACCCTATCTTAAAAACACTGATCATGGCATTAAATGTTCATAGTTTTCATGGGGAAATACTGAGTAAGTGTACTGTGATTATGTACTGGGTTTGCCATAAATACTGAGCTGCAGCCAGCCATATCATTTCATCTAGCATTACAGCAGTACTCTATAAAAAGCTAGTATTTTTATCAGTTGTCTCCCATTCCTGGAAAAGTAAAGCTGATACCTACAGTCAAGAAGAGCACAGTGAAACCGTGATTTTATGTTTTTTTTACAAATATTTCTTATTTTGCTCTGGCTTTTTACCTTTTTCTCTTTTTTGTTGTTGAGCAACCCTCTGAAGTTCTTTGTCTATAATACGATAATTTTCTGGTTCAAGTTCTCTTAGTACAGCGGTCAGCCTTCACCAAAGAGGACAATACACAGTGCATGTGCATGGGAAAACTGCCATTCTTGGATGCTATGCCTGTCAACCCAATGGTTAAACTTAAATCTGCTGTGTGCAGAATGGAAATCAGTGCCAACTACTGCCCTGTACCCTTTCATAGACCTAGCTCTGATGGAATGATCATGGGAAAAGCTGAGCGCTTCCTATAAAATGCTATGTCTCTTTAGCTCCCATTGACTTCAGTGGTACCCACAGATGCTCAGCATTTCAGGCTCAGGCCACGTGTTCCTATTTCTTTGTAAGGGAAAAGAATCAAAATGAAATCAACAAGGCCTAGCACCAAATCTATTTAATTTTTAAATATTTAATTTTCTGGCAGAGGGTCACTTTTAATTTTGTATGATGCCACTGTTGTGTGATTATTTGGAACACTCCCATTTATGTTGTTAATTACAACTCCTACTGATGTTTCTTGATAGATGATAGTACAGCTATATTATTGAGATAGAGAAAATACACTTCCATCACTAACATTTCGAACTGGGCAGGAAGTTTGCCTCTGTCTATATCCTAAAACTTGTTGTTCATGCGGATATCCTTGGTTTGCCTTAGGGATGTTAAATATAGTTTAATCAACTAATCGACTAGTCAATGGATTTTCCATCAATTAGTCGATAAGCAGGGGAGCTGCCGCAGGATTGGCTCCTGGGCACTGGCAGCTAACCCCGCTGCGGCTCTGCCTTGTAAATGTATAAGGCTGAAGCGCAGCAGCGGGGACACAGCGCGAGCCGGGACAGCTGACAACTGGGTCCCACATGCTGAGCTTCTGATGTTTAAATGTATTAAGAGCTTGCTAGCTCTTAATACATTTAAAGGACTAAAGCACAGGGGGGAAGGGAACCGGTGCTAGGCAGAAGGAATCACTTGATTCCCAGCTCCTGCTAGGTCCATCCCTGCTGTGCACCAGCCCTTTAAATGTATTAAGAGCCCATGGGCTCATAATACATCTAAAGGGCTAAAGCACAGTAGGGGGGACCCAGCGCAAGCTGGGAATCAGCTGGTGCAGCTCATGCTGGGTCCCCACCCTCTGCCCTTCTGATTTTTAAATGTATTAAGAGCCGGCAGACTCTTTAAATATATTAACAGCCTGCCGGCTCTTAATCCATTTAAAAAGCAGAAGCGCAATGGTGGGGACCCAGCACAAGCCAGGCCCAGCTGATTCCCAGCTTGCGGTGGGTTCCTCCTCCTGCACTTTACCAGAGTCACAGCATCTGGGATTGGGCGCGAGTTGGGAATCAGCTGATTCCTGGCTCACACCCAGTCCCTGCTACTCCCCTGCCCCCTGTGGAGATGATGCTTGGGGGAACTGACTTTTAAGCCAGCTCCCCCAGCACCGTCTCTTGCTCCGCCCCCCCCCCCCCCCCCCCCTTGCTACCTCTGTTAGAGGCATCAGGGGCAGGGGGCGGAGAGGAGAAGCGACTAGACGAGGAAGTAGTCGACTATCCAATAAGCTTTTGCTTATCGTATAGTCGACTAGTCGCTTACATCCCTATTTTGCCCCTTCACTGTTACTAGCAGTCTCAGAGTCTGTTGTTATCCTCCAGAGAATGAAATGTTAAATTTCCATTTGAGGTTCACTCTGAGCAAAAAATGGCCTGTTAAATTTTCTGTGAAATGACTATTTTTGCCCATGTGAATGTGCATGTTTACTTAATTCAGCAGGTTTTCTTACAACATATTAGTGCCAAAACACAGCAGCTTTGATGCTCCCATATTGCTTAGTTATTCTCAGTAGAGCTGTTCTGATACACAACATCTCTGACAACCATAATTTAACATTCTCTTAGGAAAGTTAACACTTTATTCTAACATAGTGTACAAATATTAATGAAGTGTTAGTGCTCAGTCTCAGGATTAATAGTACAATAGGTATTGTTAGAAGAATTGTTTATTTCCTGTTTGCTACAGTGAAAAGCAATCCCTTTATTTTTATATTGACTATAACTTATTTATTCATAGGTGGTGCAGCAGAACAAGCTGGAAAAATAGAAGCTGGAGATGAAATTGTAGCAATTAATGGAAAATCATTACTTGGTCTCATGCACTATGATGCCTGGAACATCATTAAATCTGTCCCAGAGGGACCAGTTCAATTGCTAATCAGAAAACATAGAACTTTAGTATGACAGAAGCACTTTTTCCAACTACAGTTGTCTAAGGCAACATGTTCATTAGAAGTAGACTTTTCAGAACGGACTACCAGCTGTCCTTACATTTTGGAAGGTGTGTAATAGTGACATAATGCTCTGTCATGGCATGCTAAAAGCATCAATGGACCACTGTGATATGCACGCAAGGAACATATCTGTTTCATGCAGTGTTTTTGTAAAAAACTTTGCTTTCCAAGGATATAAGAAGCCAAACAGCAAAAGAACTGTTGTGTTAGGTGGTATTTTATTGGAACTTCAAAACCTTTTAGCAGATTCTGTTTGGAATGTTTTACCTGTTCCCAATATTTTTAGTGTTTGGAAATCAGGAGAATAACTCATTAGTTGCTGTCCTGTTAATGAGGATGGGTTTTTTGACTGTATACTATATCACTTAGCTATAATTTGATTTCAACACACTGACTTGGGGTCTAGTCTGTATTTGTTATAAAAGGAGAGTGTCTGGAACAATCTCAATTTATTCTTCTAAGAACAATTTTGGTAAAAAGGCATGACAAAAAAGAAATATAATTTTGCACAGTTTTGTAAATCTAGACCACAAACGCTTTATCATGAAGCTCAGAATCATCTTGAAAATAATGAACTGGACATACAATATGGTTAAATCTGTTCTCTATGACATATTATTAAATCTGAACATCATTCCTTATTAATGCATTAGAACTCGGTGTGCAGACCTTCGGTTAAGGGAAGAAAATCTGTAGTAAATATTGGTTGACTATCTGCAGAGGATTAGATGGTAGAAGTTTGGGTACAACATGTGTGTATCATAGCAAGCTGAACTTTCAAAGGTGGGCTCCTAAATTTTGACACACAAATAAAAGTGGGATGACTTCCAAAGGTGCTATGCACTCCCATTGTCTTTAGTGAGGGCTTAGCACTTCTGAAGACCCACTCAGCCATACTTGTGGGAGTGGTTATGAATCATTACTTTTCTTCTCCGATATTTATATTCATGTAAATGTGTGCCAGCATGCATATTATAAATGGACTGGCTGAGGAGGATTTTGAATTATGGAACTGACTTTATCTGCATAGATGATAACTCATTAGATGAATAACCATATTGTAGAAACAATTGAATGTCACCTGCACTTTTCCTGGATTTTTCACCAATATTTAAAGCATGTATCTGTAACAGGTTGTTTTCTTGTGTATTCTGTGTAGTATGCTATTTGAGAGGAAGAAAGTATATGGCATGAGAGGTTAGAACAATTTATTTGCTTAAGTTTCAGACATCAAGTTGTTTGGTCCAGTATCCTCAAATTGCCATAGGCCCAAAACCAGAAAAATAACCCGGACCAATAGAGGTGTTCCAAATACAAACCTAGAGCCAGCCCAGCACCCTCCAAATATCCCCAGTATTTATAATAAGTATGTGGGGTTGAAAAGGTCTGGAATGGGACCTGAATATTGTAGCTTGAACCAGTCTCTAGTGTATACCATATTCAAATCTATTTGTTCTAATGATTTTTATAGTCAACACTCTTTACTGAATGAAGCATTTTCTTTTGGTTATGTTTCTGACTAGAATACAACAAGTGCAATGTGAAAATTCAGAGTTCCTTGTGGCATCCAGAGATTGGGTGTACAGAAAAGTTACACATCTTCTCTATCTAGATCTAGTATATTTGATTTTTTTTTCAAGTTACATGAAAATTAGTGTGTCTATCTAGGGAGAGATGCCAACAATTCTGTGTAGTTAAAAAAAGAAGGTGGGGCCAAGGCTTTCAAGTGCTCCACCCGCAGAATTTCCAATGAAGTTATTAGAAGTTCTGCATGTAGAGAGACTACAGAATTGGATCTGCTGCATCCCTGAACCTGAAATGAGCTCTGCTTTTGATGCAACCTTGTTATCTTTAGTGGGGTTTCATGTGGGTTCAGGTTCCATGTTGGAAGGAAAAGATTAGCTTGAATTTATGCTGAAAGTCGTTAGTGATGACAAACTGTGCAGCCTTCTTCAGGAATGATCAAAATCTGAAGAATTTCATAGATAAACAGTATGTATAGTAGATCCATAAATATGCATGTAGAATTTAATGCAGTATTGTGAATACATACATATAAATATGCACGCAACAGCATTGGCACTTCGCTATTTAAAATAACTACCATTGTGTTCTGAAAAATGGCATTTCTTTCCAGTCCAGCAATAGAACTGTACTAAATTTTGAACCAAGAAATATACAGATCCCTCACTTGTGTGAACTCAGAGAATAAGCTTTTCATCTTGTGCATTAAACTTACTAAATTTGAGGTGTGTTTTGAAAATCATATTTAAGGAAAAATAATTTTCAGACATTTATCTGCAGATACTATTCACTGCTTGAGAGTGATGTAGAAGGCTTTCATTCTTCCATTATCAAATACACTTTTATTTTACACACACTTAGAAATGTATATTGGGCAAATGCCAACATAAAAAAATAGGTGGGTTTTTGTACGTGTGATAAAATATGAAATGTAATTTAAAGGAATTATGGGTTTAATATTTAAATGCTATGGTTTATTAATAGGTTCCAGACATTATGATACAGTTCTGCTAATGACATTTTGATATATAATTACGTTTTAACCCTGACATATTAAGCCATGTGATCATTTTTCTTGCCAAAGCTATGTTTTGTAATAGGAAACAAAAGATCTCTGATTCGAAAAGGGTTAAAATGATCAGCCATTTTGTTGCACTAACATTACTCATCAATTTAAAACATTACTCATCAGTTCCCATGTTCTGGGAATCTGCTTTCAAACAGGAAAGAGCAGAGAAAACAGCCATTTGTGTGTTATCAGTCAGGATGTATATGGGCCATTAATTTGTCCTTGGCCCCCAGATAGATTTGCAATTCTTCACCATAGACCTGGAGAAGAGGGAAATGGCTTTCACAGCAGGGCAGACTTTCTTCTGGACAAGCTGGCCTGCCACAGAGTTAGCATTCATTGCCTTCCAGGCCTGGAGCAGCTCAGAAGGATGTGCATATTGGATATTGGGGTGGATTGGGCTTTAGAATGATACTGGACATACAGTGCCCTTCAGTCACAGTCCTTAAGCAGGAAAACCTCTCATTGGCTCCTCTGGGAATTGTTAAGGACTAAAGCCTGTATTCAGGAGGAGGCTGTATGGTTGGTTACATTTCTCACAATCCTAACAAAAGCCTTTTGCGGATAATAAAGTATTAAGAATTTTTGTGTGACATTTCCAATCAGCCCTCATTCAGAATTAGTCCTAATGACATTGTACCTTTTTTATTTCAAAAGCTAGATCCATCATCCACAGCCAGGTGTTGGAATGGTTAGCTGCTTGTGTGTTTAGGGTGTGTAAAGTATTCATGATGAAAATATTGATGAGGATTAGAGTAGATTACGTGAAGCATTGGAATCCCAAACTAGTTAGGTTTTGTTTTCTGTTAAGCTGATACACTTCTTGTATTATATTGTATATTGACACTTATTTATATAAATAATACTTCTTTTATTGAACCCCCTTTAAAATGCCTTGAATATTATAAAAGAAATGAGTGCAATAATATGAAATAGACTGTACATTTTCAAAAGTTGCTTTCTTTGTTATGTAAATGTGCATCTCCAAAAATGTTTTTTAGTGATTTTGAAAAATAAATATTACACTTAGTACATCACTTCCTATTCATTTCTATAGCAAAATAAGTGAGTTAATGGTCTTGCCAGTTCGCTATTTTAACATACAACCTGTCATTCATGGAGGGAATATTCTTCTGGATGACACAGCCAAACATTTTGAAGCCTAAGAAATGTCAAGCTATATATCTAATTAAGCTAAAAAAAATCCTTAGAACTATCATTCATTGGGAACTGGATTTGCTTTAGCTGCTGTTTAAATGTTTCATTCGGTAGAGCTCTTTTGAGACTTGATCTAAAATATAATGAGTATTTTTCAGGCATGTTTATAGGGAAGATTCAAATAGGTGAAACCCACAATTTTTATGAATAATTGAGGGCTCTGTGTAGTCTAACAACAATGAAACATTACACATTTCCTACCCAGCACTCCTGCTTTAAAAATATATCAGTGGACTCCATGACAGAGGGTATGTATTATGATGTATCATGCTTCCTATGCAGAAAAACTTAAAAATGATGAGTTACAATTGTATGTTACAGATCATTACACAAATAAAAAGTTTTGTTCCACGTTGGTGAATAAAGTGAATAGGAGTCTTTCCATTGACTTCAATAGACTTGTTATCAAGACCCATGACAAGCTCAAATACACATTTTAATTATACCAAACTTGCTCATCTGTCACTGGTTTCTTCTCTTCCCTTTGAAATGGTCTGAATGCAGCTGCTGAGACAGCCTGTTCCTGGGCACATATTTTGTACTTCTGCACCTCACTAATTCGACTGTTAGTAAACTTCTTAACACACGTAATTGTTCACCAGTTTTGCTTATTTCTCTTCCTATTTTTGGCCTTGTGACTGCCTACTTAACTAGATACATCACACAACTGTTCTCTTTGCAGCATTGGCTCTCTGCACCAGTGGAATTGCAGCTTTTGGTTCAGTAGCTAAACAAGGCCGAAGCTGCACTGAGTTGTTCACTGAAAACAAGGATTCAGCCACTTTGTTAAAGGTGGCGCTTGCAGCCTCTACTCTCCACCCCCACAAATTACAACCATGTTTTGTGGGGCCAAGAATGACTTTCCTGGGAACTTTTAGAGTAAACCAATTAATGACAGGGGATGCCATTAAAGAAGGATCCTGAGGCAATCTGTCCGCACCCTCATTTCTACCTCCCTGCTAAACTGCAGCTGCTGGGGGCAGGGGGAAATTAGTAGACCAGTCCCCTCCCAGAGTGGGCAAGGAGGTGCCATGCCAGTCTATAGTGGGGCAGAGTGGCTGCCCACTGACCCCGAGGGGGAGGCGCCCCTCCCTGAGCTTTGGTGGACAACCCCTGGCCCTGATGATCCACTTGATGTGAAGCCAGGAGGCGGGGCCAGGGATATAAAAGACCTGGCTGGGCGGCCAGTGCCGGAAGGAGCCAGAAGCCTCCCCTGTGGACGCAGAGGAAGAGCTGGACCCAGGAGAGGTGGAGGACTGGCCTGGGCTGCCGGGGCCCCTACTGGACAGCAACCTGGAGGGACTGCTGGCCTGCCCAGGGGTTCCAGAACTACAAAGCCCAGAAGACCTGCGCCAAGCTCAGGTACAACCTGAGGGGGAGAAGGGAAGAAGCCCAGGGGTGGCCGACCACATTGTGGCTGCGTTGGAACCTGGGCAGTGCGTTTTCGAGTGGATCCCAGCCGACCCAGCAGCAAAGGATTCCGTTGCTACTAGGCCCTGGGCTGGGATGCAGTGCAGTAGGTGGGCCCACTTCCCCCCTGCCACCTCACCCTTGGGTGGCCATCTCCCCCCTTGGCTGTTACCCACAGCAGCCTGCACCTGCTGGACCTCGGCCCAAGCAAGGAGACCCAGCGGGGTGCACATCCCAAGACTACTGGCCTGTTTGTTTTGAGGATATGCCCTGAGCAAGGGCTTGACGTTATGAACACTTTTGCTGGCTCCCCCACCCTGAACGGAGGTGTGGGCCCCTGAACCCTGTGCATGCTGCCCCACCCTGAACCAAGGCTTCGGCTACTGGACTGTTCATTGACCTGCCACCAGCCCTGAAGAGCTGAATGCCACAACTAAATTTCCCAAGGGACTAAGCAGGGACAGTGGGGCGGAGTGGCCACCCACTGACCCCAACGGGTAGGTGCCCCTCCCCAAGCCCTACAGGCTTACACAGTTGTAACCAGAGGAGCAGCAGCAGCAGGTCATAGAATACTAGGACTGGAAGGGACCTCGAGAGGTCATGGAGTCTAGTCCCCTGCCCTCATGGCAGGACCAAATACTGTCTAGACCATCCCTGATAGACATTTATCTAACCTACTCTTAAATATCTCCAGAGACTGAGATTCTACAACCTCCCTGGGCAATTTATTCCAGTGTTTGATCACCCTGACAGGAACTTTTTCCTAATGTCCAACCTAAACCTCCCTTGCTGCAGTTTAAGCCCACTGCTTCTTGTCCTATCCTCAGAGGCCAAGATGAACAAGTTTTCTCCCTCCTCCTTATGACACCCTTTTAGATACCTGAAAATTGCTATCATGTCCCCTCTCAATCTTCTCTTTTCTAAACTAAACAAACCCAATTCATTCAACCTTCCTTCATAGGTCATGTTCTCTAGACCTTTAACCATTCTTGTTACTCTTCTCTGGACCCTCTCCAATATCTCCACATCTTTCTTGAAATGCGGTGCCCAGAACTGGACACAATACCCCAACTGAGGCCTAACTAGCGCAGAATAGAGCGGAAGAATGACTTCTTGTGTTTTGCTCACAACACACCTGTTAATGCATCCCAGAATCATGTTTGCTTTTTTTGCAACAACATCACACTGCTGACTCTCATTCAGCTTGTGGTCCACTATAACCCCTAGATCCCTTTCTGCTGTACTCCTTTCTAGACAGTCGCTTCCCATTCTGTATGTGTAAAACTGATTGTTCCTTCCTAAGTGGAGCACTTTGCATGCTCAAATACACATTTTAATTATACCAAACTTGCTCATCTGTCACTGGTTTCTTCTCTTCCCTTTGAAATGGTCTGAATGCAGCTGCTGAGACAGCCTGTTCCTGGGCACATATTTTGTACTTCTGCACCTCACTAATTCGACTGTTAGTAAACTTCTTAACACACGTAATTGTTCACCAGTTTTGCTTATTTCTCTTCCTATTTTTGGCCTTGTGACTGCCTACTTAACTAGATACATCACACAACTGTTCTCTTTGCAGCATTGGCTCTCTGCACCAGTGGAATTGCAGCTTTTGGTTCAGTAGCTAAACAAGGCCGAAGCTGCACTGAGTTGTTCACTGAAAACAAGGATTCAGCCACTTTGTTAAAGGTGGCGCTTGCAGCCTCTACTCTCCACCCCCACAAATTACAACCATGTTTTGTGGGGCCAAGAATGACTTTCCTGGGAACTTTTAGAGTAAACCAATTAATGACAGGGGATGCCATTAAAGAAGGATCCTGAGGCAATCTGTCCGCACCCTCATTTCTACCTCCCTGCTAAACTGCAGCTGCTGGGGGCAGGGGGAAATTAGTAGACCAGTCCCCTCCCAGAGTGGGCAAGGAGGTGCCATGCCAGTCTATAGTGGGGCAGAGTGGCTGCCCACTGACCCCGAGGGGGAGGCGCCCCTCCCTGAGCTTTGGTGGACAACCCCTGGCCCTGATGATCCACTTGATGTGAAGCCAGGAGGCGGGGCCAGGGATATAAAAGACCTGGCTGGGCGGCCAGTGCCGGAAGGAGCCAGAAGCCTCCCCTGTGGACGCAGAGGAAGAGCTGGACCCAGGAGAGGTGGAGGACTGGCCTGGGCTGCCGGGGCCCCTACTGGACAGCAACCTGGAGGGACTGCTGGCCTGCCCAGGGGTTCCAGAACTACAAAGCCCAGAAGACCTGCGCCAAGCTCAGGTACAACCTGAGGGGGAGAAGGGAAGAAGCCCAGGGGTGGCCGACCACATTGTGGCTGCGTTGGAACCTGGGCAGTGCGTTTTCGAGTGGATCCCAGCCGACCCAGCAGCAAAGGATTCCGTTGCTACTAGGCCCTGGGCTGGGATGCAGTGCAGTAGGTGGGCCCACTTCCCCCCTGCCACCTCACCCTTGGGTGGCCATCTCCCCCCTTGGCTGTTACCCACAGCAGCCTGCACCTGCTGGACCTCGGCCCAAGCAAGGAGACCCAGCGGGGTGCACATCCCAAGACTACTGGCCTGTTTGTTTTGAGGATATGCCCTGAGCAAGGGCTTGACGTTATGAACACTTTTGCTGGCTCCCCCACCCTGAACGGAGGTGTGGGCCCCTGAACCCTGTGCATGCTGCCCCACCCTGAACCAAGGCTTCGGCTACTGGACTGTTCATTGACCTGCCACCAGCCCTGAAGAGCTGAATGCCACAACTAAATTTCCCAAGGGACTAAGCAGGGACAGTGGGGCGGAGTGGCCACCCACTGACCCCAACGGGTAGGTGCCCCTCCCCAAGCCCTACAGGCTTACACAGTTGTAACCAGAGGAGCAGCAGCAGCAGGTCATAGAATACTAGGACTGGAAGGGACCTCGAGAGGTCATGGAGTCTAGTCCCCTGCCCTCATGGCAGGACCAAATACTGTCTAGACCATCCCTGATAGACATTTATCTAACCTACTCTTAAATATCTCCAGAGACTGAGATTCTACAACCTCCCTGGGCAATTTATTCCAGTGTTTGATCACCCTGACAGGAACTTTTTCCTAATGTCCAACCTAAACCTCCCTTGCTGCAGTTTAAGCCCACTGCTTCTTGTCCTATCCTCAGAGGCCAAGATGAACAAGTTTTCTCCCTCCTCCTTATGACACCCTTTTAGATACCTGAAAATTGCTATCATGTCCCCTCTCAATCTTCTCTTTTCTAAACTAAACAAACCCAATTCATTCAACCTTCCTTCATAGGTCATGTTCTCTAGACCTTTAACCATTCTTGTTACTCTTCTCTGGACCCTCTCCAATATCTCCACATCTTTCTTGAAATGCGGTGCCCAGAACTGGACACAATACCCCAACTGAGGCCTAACTAGCGCAGAATAGAGCGGAAGAATGACTTCTTGTGTTTTGCTCACAACACACCTGTTAATGCATCCCAGAATCATGTTTGCTTTTTTTGCAACAACATCACACTGCTGACTCTCATTCAGCTTGTGGTCCACTATAACCCCTAGATCCCTTTCTGCTGTACTCCTTTCTAGACAGTCGCTTCCCATTCTGTATGTGTAAAACTGATTGTTCCTTCCTAAGTGGAGCACTTTGCATTTGTCTTTATTAAACTTCATCCT